CCACCCACTCGGCCGTATCACTGGGGCTTAAAAAGATTAAATATTAACTTAATTCTCTTCTTTAAGGATGCCAGAAAAGAAAAACATGGCGCGCTAATCGCATGGCGCTGTGTACCTATACGAATAATCGCGTGTTGGGGTAACGCGATCAAGAAATGTCATGGGGTGGAAAAATTGAAAAAAGAAAAAATGTTAGGAATTGGAACACAGCCTACAGCTTACAACCTTAGCCTGTAGCCTCTATGTAGATTTTTTCTGTAGTCTTTTATTATATTACCGTGCTAGCCTTCTCTCATATCTTTGTACTATAATTTTGTTTTCTCTGATTACCTTATAGTTTTGTTCTGATTACGTGTTTATGCAATATATATATATATATATAAATACATACATACATACATATATATATATAGTTCTCATTAGAGAGTGTGCGTGTGGTAGAGTTTATTATAACGAAGACGACACATTTATTCTCTTCGGTGGATTGTTGACGTATCTTATTTTTGACTATCTGAACTTTGGATTGAATTCTCATTTGGATTCTCGTTGTATACATTATTATTATTATCGGTGGAGAAGGAGCTAGGGTGATGTCCAGACAATTGGACTAACGGTACGGCATGGGTGTGTTTCAGGAGGCTCAGGCTACGGCGGCAAGCAGAGGGGTGGTGGTCGCCAGAACCAAAGGCACCAACCCTATTAATGGGAATCCTTATTTGCGACCGCGATGCAATTCGCATTGTAACCGCTGGTGAGTGTCCTTAATCATCCCGTAACCCCCTAATCCTAATTTCACACTTTCTCAACTGATCACCTTTTGTCCCGTTCAATTCTGTCGAGTCTGACTCACTCGTCTTCTCATGTCTTGTTGACTCACCGGTCCAACGAGACAACAGTGAGAAGAGAATGAAAAAAAAAAAAGAAATATAAAGAGACCTTTCACCTTTTCCTATCGGAAAGAGCTGCGTCGGCGTCTTCCTTTTCAATACCCAGTAATCTCGATTGAAATTATTGCTTCGTTCGGCGCGCTGTTCGTAATTCATTGCTTTTCTTTTTATTTGTATAAATTTTATTATGACTTTATGCATACACAAAAAACTGACGATAACGACGAGGACGAACGATGATGAAAGATTATGTATTCTGCATTTGTCTCCCTTTTAGTAGATATCAGATTTATTTGACTTTTTCAGGTTTCCTGCCCTATAAATCTCATAACTCGACGAATCATCATTCCATTAAAACCCGCCACCAACAACACGAACCACCGCAAGAACGCAGACAACCGCCGCAGAACAAAAACAGTCATCAAGAATCACAACAACAGAAGCAGCAATAGTTAATCATTTTTGCGTTTATCTTCTCCATACCCTCGACCGTATTTGAAGGAGCCGCCGATATGCATTAGAAGAGCATATATATATATACATATATGTCAAGTCACTTTCTTTCATCATGCGTGTTTCCTTTTGTATAAAAATTTTCGATATGTTTATATTCCTTTACTATTTTTTCTCTCTCTCTCTTTCTCTCTCTCTCTTTTATCTCTCTTCCCGCCCTATTCGTTTGTTCTCTTTTTTTCTCGTTTTCACTCGTACGCGCCTCATATATTCGTCGTTTTGTATTTCGCGCCACTGTCATCGTATTTATCATGTATTTACAATAATGAATACGATTCATTGCGCGTGTAGGAGTTTCCTGACACACTCTGAGATAATCGTTATTAATTTTTTTCCCCCCCTTGGAACGTGTCGTTCGCAAATTAATGGTAAGCACGTTAGCGCGCAACGAAGCGAATTTATTATTGGCGATCTCTACACAAGGATGGACCGAGGATGAAAGAAAGTGATCGAAATGGAAAATAGTAGAGAAAGTGGGAATTCTCTCGTTCAACCGCGAGACATCGTTGCAAGCAACCATGTCCACCATTTTTAACAATAAAGATTATTTTAATTTTGTCTATAACTAAACTTAAAGATGAATTACCTACTATACTATAGCGAAGTAAGCAGGCAATGTACTTTTTACACGAATACGTTTAAACTAAGAAAAAAAAACAGATGCTAAACTGTTTATAATGATTACGTGAGGTATGAAATGTGGTAAAAAGATTATTGCTTCCTTATTGGTAAGAATAATAGGATTAAATAAATTCATTTTGTGTACATAATACAATTCAACGTGTTTCCTTTTTCGTTCAGTTACCCAACAGCCTTTACTTTGATAAGGGAAACAGCAGAAACATCGACGGGTAAGATTAGTGTATTTGAAAAATGTGTATATTCATCCAAATAGTTGATACATTTCTTATGTTGTAATTTTTGGCTAAACTGACCGGAAAACCCGATGCAGCCATCTCGGAAAATATTGTTCGCTGGGAAAATGCAAATCATGAATGCACAGGATCTGGGGATCGATTGTGTAACTCAAATGTAGTGAAAATACGTAAAGTGAATAGCCGTTAGCCAACCGCTGTGCTTGCCTTCTTTTAAACCTAACACGCGATTGGCTAACAGCCATTCATTTTTCGTATTTTCACTACATTTGAGTTACACAATCGACCTCCTGCACGATTAAAATCATGGCTAGACTCGAACCAGACTAACACGATGTGTGGGTTTGAGACTTTTAAAATGGCTTCATCAGGCATTTGTGTTTGCGCGTAGCCTTAAAGTTATCTCGACCAAATGCCACTAGGGATCCTAATAATTATTTATATCTATGAAATTGTACAGATCCAATTGCTCGCGTTTTTAGCATCTCAGAACAGAGATAGCAAACGTAGTAATTCTCTTTTTATTTTACCAAACCCGACATTGGGTAAAGTGGACGAGGATAGTTCTTCCTGTTTTAAGATAAAGTTCTATTTTATTTACATTTACATCGTGCAAGATTTAAGTAGTATTAACCAATCATGTGCAATATTTGAGAAGAATACACGAACGTAATTGGTTAATCTACTTATGTGGTAAATCCAGTACGATGAAAATGCAGACAGTAAATTGGACATAAGCCTCGAAACTCAAGTCTTTCTCAAAATATGACGCATCGCATGATGTGATTCAATGAAAACGAAGCTTAAGTCAGCTTAAATGAGATTGAGGCGTATACCGCCAGGTGGCGAAACTCCACGGTTCTGGTTTAGTTGATGGCAGCACGAGGAGGTCGCTGTTTTGCGTGCAACCGGCTCCTCAGTGCAGGATCTATGTGCTGACTGACACCACGGTGCTCCGAAGAAACAGAACTGTTTTTATAATTAACATTATTGTGAACTGTTATTGCTTGCGCGAGTTCCCGATTCTCCCCGGCTTTTCACGTTCCCAGTAACCCGAGTGCATCGCGTCGTGCAATAATCTTCCGAGGGGTGAGTGTGCACCTCGCGAGAGCGGGCCACGGGATGCTTTCCGTGGGACTGCATGGGAGGAACGTACCAGAACGGTGAAGAGATAGGCCCGCGAGACCTTCGCGGTTTCTACGATTTGGCGTGCTACACGCGAATCATCCCCAGCAAACCCAAACTAGCCTCTCTTTGGCAACCTGAGGCGCACAGTGACGCCGGTTCGATTTCTGTTCGATTTTCTTGTCTGATTATCGACGGCGTTTTGACGATTCTGGGGATTTTCACGCTATCGCGTCCGCTCAGGAAAAATCGCCATGCTTGCCCCGTGTGGCCCGGTACCCCCCCTCACTCTTGGCTCAAGTCTTTCCTGATCCTACCAAGTCGAACTATACTGTGTCTCGTCTGGCCTTGTCTTGGGCTGTCGCGCGAGGTTTTCTTTTGTCCTGACTTTGAGACCCGCTGATTTTTCTTATGGCTGCTTCAAGACCTTTGAGATCCTTGCAATCTCAGATGGATGATCCTTGCTAGATTCTTCGAGTCTTGCTGTAGGAAACGGCGTGGTGCTTTGAAATTTTTCGGTGGTGTGATGCCGCACACGCGCTGAAATTCCTTTGTGCTCTGTAGAGTGCTTTGTAGATTTCACCGATTCAAGAAATCTGTCGTACCTCATTCCCATACTACTTCATATCTGATTGTTGGCCCATGAGGATGATTACAATTTTTTGAAGATATCTTTCAGATTCACTTTTAAGTATTAGATTCTAAAAATGATGACTTAAATTTTATGATTGCTCTTTCAAAGTACACATGCTTTTCGCTCACCTTGAACGGGACGTTTTACGTTTCACAGCTAACGTCATTATGAAGGACATTTTGAAAATACATTTTATCTTTTATTGTTTGTTTCAGATAGCTGCCTTAATAATTTCACGATCCTTCGCCTCAATCACGTTGTCCGGGTAACGACCTTAGCGTAAGAAGTATTAACAGGCATAAGTACTGACACATTATTTAAGGAGAAAAGGAAAATATAAGCAGTGAGACAGGAAATGGTCATGGAGGCATCCCCCGCACCACAGTGTGTCGGTCGTGAGTTCGTCCGACAGTACTATACTTTGCTGAATAAGGCTCCGGCTCACCTGCATAGGTATGTATCGGCACCTAGTAATGCTGAGAATGCATTATGAGATTCAATAGTTGAATAATAATTGTTCCATACAGGTTTTACAACGCCAATTCATCCTTTGTTCATGGAGGGCTTGATGCACCTAATAGAGACATAAACCCTGCAATTGGACAAAAGCAAATCCATCAAAAGATACAACAGTTGAACTTCAGGGACTGTCATGCCAAGATTAGTCAAGTTGATTCGCAAGCTACGCTTGGTAATGGGGTTGTCGTACAGGTATGAAGCTTCGTCATCTTATCAGAATGTTTGGTTCTTTTATTGTAAATCTAACTTCTTAGCCATCATTCTCCCTGTGTTTAGGTGACAGGAGAACTGTCTAATGCCGGTCAGCCTATGAGACGCTTTACTCAAACGTTTGTATTGGGAACACAGGAGCCAAAAAAGTACTACGTGCACAACGACATTTTTCGCTATCAAGATCTGGTGTTCCCGGACGAGGAGGAAGCGGACGTTGAAGGTGTCGAGAGTGGTGTAAGTGACGTCGGCGAAAGGGAAGCTGAGGAAGGTGGTCGTTCGGAAACCGAGGAGGACGAGCAGCAGAATCAAGGTCAGCAGATTTCGTTGAATACCTCGACCAGTGAGCATCAGACTCCCCAACCAGCTCTCATTCCCAACCAACAACCTCAAATTCAACAGCAACAGCAACATGTCTTCTATCACGCACCACAACCTCAACAGCCCGTAAGCATAACAAAAAATGTATCACGCATGCAGCATAACTTCTCGTTAGGACGGGACAATATGAGTTGGAGGATTTAGGTGCATCCGGTAATGCAGCCAGTGATCAACGGTTCGGTTCACGAAGAAACACCATTGATTAGTCAGCAGCAGCAGCAACCACTTCCGCCACAACCACAGCAACAACAACAGCAGCAGCACTCTCATTCATATATCGCCGAAAACACAACACAGGAATCGTTCTCCCAGGAAACTGAATCGGACGCTACTGCCGATCAGCAGCAGCAAGTCGACGAGGAGACTCAGCCACAGGCTGAGGAGTCTCAGGAACAAGTGAAAGCAGACCCATTTGCACCTTCGGCACCAGAAGCAGAGCCGGAACAGCCTCTGCCGATAACGAATACTAATAGTAGTGGTGCCAAGACATATGCCAACTTGGTCAAATCCTTTCCCAGTGCCACGGGCGCCACAAGTCCTCAGGCACCAAAATTATCCATGTCCCCAGTAAATATTTTATCATCAGGATATTCGGCCATTTTGTACGTGAGTATTGATTAGTTACAATACTTCAATATTTTCAGCCGCCCATAAGAGACCTCCGATTAGATGAACGGTCGCCACTTCATCCAGCCAATAGCGGACCTATCCTATCATCCACGAGTAACGTTAGCGGAGGTCAGCAACAGGCTCACAGAGTGGGTGGAAATCAGCAACCACAACAACATCAGCAGCAACAACGGGCCCCGAGGGGTGGCCCAGTGCAACGAGGTATGGGGAGGGGTCCCCCACGCCCCCCCTTTCCTTCCGATGACAATGGCTGGGGTGATTATAACTTGCAACATGAATAATCCCCCCTATGTCGTTTCCTAATCCTTTTACCATTTCGAGTACAATACTGCGGATTGGTTGCGTGCGTTGTCACGGGATGTCACCTATCCAAAGTACCGTATTTGTTTTGGTATTTTTTCGGTTATCCTATGTGATGCTCTTATAAATTATGTGAATTGATAGTGTTCGGTTAATTCTGTAGATGGCGAACGTCGTGGAGGACGATCTGGACAGTATGGGGACGCGCACCAGCTCTTTTTGGGCAATTTACCTCACCACGCATCGGAGAGCGATCTTCGCATCCTGTTTGAGCGATACGGGAAAGTAGCAGAGTTACGCATACACAGCAAGCAGAACGAAAGGTCCAAGGGTCCTCAGGGCGCGACCACGACAACGAGAGTGCCAAACTATGGGTTCATCACTTTCGAGGATCAACAGGTCGTGTCTAAGGTGTTGCAAGGTCCGCCCATTTACTATCCTGATCAGTCCGGACAGAAACTGAACGTAGAGGAGAAGAAAACCAGACCCAGGATGTCACTCGAAGGAGACAGAAGGACAGCTGGTGACGGTAACATTCGAGCAATGGGAGGACAACAGCAACAACAGCAGCAGCAACCACAGCGTGGACCTGGTGAGTCTCTTAGTCATCTCTATTTACTTTTCAGTCTGGGAGCGTCTTATTGATCCTACTGGAATTCCGTCGATACAGGTGGTCCGGGTGGTGTGATGAGAGGCGGTGGACAACACGGAGCCAGGGGCGGACGTGGTGGATTTTCACGTGGCGGCGACGGGGGCAGAACTGGCGGCGGCATGAGACAACCAGGAAACCCCAGCAATCCAAGCTACCAGAATCGGCGCTAATCGTCGTGGCCGCGTAAACCTACCCCAGCCCCTTCCTTCCCGCTGTACATCCCGAATATGAAGTCCAAGAAGCGTCTTAGACATCGCTACGCCTCTTACGATTGCTTCTTAAGAAGCTCACAACCGAAAGGACTAAAAGCTCAAAAGTGCGAATGCGATTCCATCAGATCGTGCTCGTCCCGAGCTCTCCTAGGAGAGGATCTTCAGAGTGTCTCGCGATACGTCTCGTCGATATGGACGATATGCCTCTCCGCGTAGAGCCCTCGGTGAATTCGATTAGTGTCCCAGAACTACGTTCACGAGGTTCCTGCAGCTTCCACTGGGATCGCGCTGCGTGCCAGACAGAATCAGACATAAGGAGCGACGCTCAGCATCGTCGAGAATAACGTGAACTACGTGGCAGGCCTGATTGTGGCGCAAGGACTAACTAAGGCCCCGGGTCTCATCTTCAACATTCCCTTCCAGCCAGTCAGTGAAAGTGTTCGCGACCTTGGATAGATATGCAGGGGAGATCAAGAACGAGGAAGAGAAGCAAAACATAATAAAACAAAAATTTAGTGCTTTTTGAGGGGTAGAAAAGACAGGAAAGAATAATGAAAACTGAAGCAAACGATTAATAAGTAACAAAGCATAAAATTCGTAAACGTTAAAGGGGGTGTCAAGATTCGAGGGTGTCACGCGCTACTTCCTGCCCCCCAACTCCAACTACACCCACTTTCCTCAGATTCAGGACAAATGACACGAAACAGAATATGCCCAAAGGGGGTACTAATTTCAACTTCGTATTTCACACGGATGAACTTAACGAGAGAAATACCAACAACTGTCTTGATGAACTGGTGTCGTCGTAATCACGAACTTTTGAATTACTACTATGGATTACCATAACACGTAGAGTCGGCGCAAATGTAGGTGATAGTTGGTCGAGAAAGTGAAGTTCATAAGATTATACACAAGGAGGAAAGAGAAAATAAGAAAGATTAAAAAGACAAAGTTTCGACGGACGATACTGGTTATGTCGTCAAACGACGGTATTAATTACTGGAGCAAACTTCAGACTTCAGCTGGTCTCGCCGTTCCAACTTCTAAATCTTGTAATGTTCCTCTCTATTTCCCAGTTTCTCAATTTTTAGCAAGGATAAAGGTAAACTTTATCCTGCTTCGAATCAAAATTTATTGTTTTCGAAAATTCCTTTGAAATTTACTCTTCTATTATACACGGACACGCGTCCCATTCTAGAAATACACGTGCTGATTATATTCAGTATCTGTTGCGAAAAAGGTATTTTTTTTATTTTTTTATTTTATTTTGGAAATCATTCTACATGGATTCCACGGACAATTATCCGGCTGTAGATATCCAGAATCATCGAGGATCTTGTTAGGATAATAGAAATAAATGAATTTGATCTTCCTCACTGAAACAAAATAGACAAACGATTGGATAAAACTGGAATCCAAAAAAAAACAGAACAGGGAAAGTTCGGCCATTATCCTTATTCACCTATTATCGTCCTAAGATTTTCTCGAAGAATTTCTTCTTTCTACCTACCCGTACTACCTGTCTGTTCTTTCTCTTTGAGAGTGAGAAGCGTCAATTGTGAAAAGTGTTTTAGCGTCAGGAGTGTCTTGCGTGCTCAGCTGTGTATTTAGTGGCGCTCGATTTTCTTCCTGAAACAATGATTTTCTTAGATCTCGCAAATTCGCAGCCTCTAAAGGAGAGTCACACAAAACGAGAAAGATGAAAAACAAATTATACCGAGCAGAGTAATTCAGTCCTTGCCACGCGAAACCACCTGTTACTAAACACGAGCTCTGCAAATTTTTAGTGTGAATGTTTTTCTTTTTAAGTAATTATAAAAGGAAACCACAAATAATTATAATGATTAACATAGAGGTCGGCGTAATTAAGTTGTGAATTTTTGTAGCATACATTTTTATTTTGGTCCGTTGGATCAGTTTGTGTGTACAACCGTGGACAACGTTACTGCGATAAAATAATGTTAAAAAAAAAAAAAAGGAAAATGATACAAAGAAGAAGAAATACCAAGAAACGTCAGAGGTATTGTAACTTTTTGCATTTAGTATAATATACCTACCTTACTACCAATTGGTCGGTGCTTTCTTTTTTATCGTAAATGGCTGTTTAAAACTGAAATGACAAAAACAATATTCTTTCTTTTATTCGTCGTCACTCATTCACACGTCCAAATCCGTCGTCACGACTCCGCGGCATCCGCAACTCGCGTTATGCACTCCCTTCCACGTAGCAACGTTCTCTTCCGGTTCGTCTCCAGGACAGCTAGTATCCCTACGCTTCTCCAGACTTCATTTCAGCTTCATTGCGCAATCTGGCAGATTCATGGGAGAAGGGGAAGGCGGAAGAAAAAATGAATTAAAAAAACAGCGCGATAGCAAGCTCACGCACGGAATAGCCATCATCATATACGGGGGTGTAGGACGAGATGATGAGGTCATCTGAAAATGATTGCCATTGCGCTCTTGGTAGGACGCATAGCCTTAGTCAGTACAAGCTGAGACAGTAAGTCGTTTGGTCGTAGATCCTGCTGTGGATTCGGACGGCTTCCTTGTCTCTTACTGAGGTTCAAGTTGTCTGTAGATTCGCGTCAGGTACGTATTTTTCTTTATAAACTAGGACACTGTGAAATAGTAGAATTAGAATTGAAAATTGTTCTTTAAAAAATTTATCAGCATCACAGAAGAGAGGAAAACGTATTAGTTAACGAATGAAACTCGAGTGAATTGCAATCCAAGTCATTTGGCTGTGCGTTATTTCATTCCCACAAAGTGTTGACTTACTATGAAAAGGAAGCGTATCAGACTTCGCTTTGAATTACATGAAAATTTACATCAAGACAGATTCTTTTGTCTTCACTTAGTCGCGTAGGTAATAGCGAAAATGTGAAGAATTAAAATTATGAAAACATTCTTGAAATTATATGAAACGGTTGTAAAGCTTCTTTTTTAAAACAATTTTTTTAATATATAAAAAAAGATTTCGCCCCTAATTCATTCACGACTGCATCTTATTATTCAGATTAGACGTTCTCCTTTTATTAGATTTCGAGTTGGTCCAGTTTCATCTTAGATTGCCGAGAATATTTCTCACGGACAGAAAGGCATGCTCCCAAGATTTTCTAAATGACCGTTACGCGTTTCTCAGAGTTGTAAGAGAGCCTCAGACACAGTCGGATAGACGGGAACGAGAATCAAGCGATAAAAATATAGTCTCGTTGCCGATACGATAAACTGGAACGAGTACCAAGTGGTTGGGGCGTGATGTTCTTATGCCGGCGTAATATAAATTGTATTATTACGCGAGGCGATATTATGGCACGTGGGACGTGGTTCATGGAACTCGAAGCTGGAAATGGGAACGCATGAACGCAGAACGCTCGTCGGGAGTTCTGAGCGACGCGATAGTTTCGCTCGTGAGCGTACGGCTTTATTGTCTGGTGACCGGAGTCCCTGCTGCCTCCTTGGAAGGGATGACGTGTGTATATATGTATATCTATATGGCTTGCGCCATGAAACAGAATTCCAGGGATGCACATACACTCGTACATATATGCGTATCTCTGCAGCTGGTCCTGCATGCTGTGATTACAGGCGAACTTGGAAAAAGATAATTGTTATATTAATATTATTCTTTTTTAATTCTACCAATGACACCGTCATCTGAAAATGACGAAGAATTGGGTTATCGCGTCGGTTTCTCGAAACTAGCTCATTTATTAGGATCAGCTATCAGTAATCACGGTGACCTAAGATATTGGGGCATACATTAATATATATGACATGGTATATAGTTTATTTGTTTTGGTGTATGTCTTTATGGAAATGAATAGTATAGAGTGTTGAGGTCGCTTCATCTCGTCATCGTCTTATGATGCAAGCATCACAGAAGACATCGAATGCTTTTTGTCAATTGAGAACAGTCTGTTCTTATGTCATCACAATTATGTGTAATAACTCTAGTGGACGATACCAGGAATAATGTTAAGAGTACAGACTATAGACGATAGATAGCAGAGTGTTATATTATTAATAGTGTATATGTATATCCTGTCGCAGAGATCAGAATGCGCCTGCAGTGGATGCTGGCCATGGTGCTCCTGGTGACGCTGCTCACCGTGGACGTATCCGGAGAGGTAGGTCAAGGATCCAGGATCTCGAGACTCTGAGTCAATTCGGTACTCATTATTTTTATATTTTCAGAGACGAAGGAAACATCGTCGTCGCACTACGACCACCACCGAGTCCAACGTTCAGGATGAGGTAATGAATATCCTGGAGGCTGACGAGATTGTCGAGGAGGCTGACGAAGCTGAGGCTGTTAAGGAGGAGAGCGGAGAGGCCAGCAACGAAGTTGGAGCGAACGAAGCTGTCCGCATCGATCCATGCGTCGACAAGCACTGCGGTGCGGGTCGTATTTGCAAGGTCTGTTCCCGTATAGTAGAGATCCTATCGTCTATTTGTAAACGGGGTAGCTACCCCTGTGTGTGTGTGTGTGTATATATATATGTGCAGTGTGACTCTAGTGTAATCCTATATAATACTTGCAGGCTAATGATGACCTGGGCACTGCCGAATGCGTTTGCGTAGAAAGCTGCGGCAAGGAACAGGATCCTCGCCGTAAGGTCTGCACCAATTACAACGAGACCTTCGAAAGCGATTGCGAGGTCTACCAGACACGTTGCTTCTGCGAAACTGGTGATCCTAGGTGTACCAATGCTGATTACAGTCACGTGCACATTGAGTACTATGGTGCCTGTCGTCAGATGCCTGTACGGGTTTTGTATTCTGTCGTTTTGAACATTGCTTAGGGCTGTTTATGAAAATTATGAAAAATGCTGAATTAGTTTCATGTTACGTCTTAGGCTTGTGCCGAAACAGATATGGCCGATTTCCCAAGACGCATGCGAGACTGGCTCTTCAATATCATGCGTGATCTTGCTGACCGTCAGGAGCTCTCATCTCATTACTTGAAGATGCAGCGTGAAGCTGAGACTAATTTGACTTTACGCTGGACCAATGCAGCCATCTGGAAGTGGTGCGACCTGGACGGTCATCCACATGATAGAACAGTCTCCAGGCACGAGTTGTTCCCCATCAGAGCTCCTCTGATGGCTTTAGAACATTGTATCGCTCCTTTCTTAGATTCTTGTGACTTGGACAACAACCACAAGATCACACTGAAAGAATGGGGAAAGTGTCTTCAGCTTGACGAGGTTAGTGTAAACATTGTTATGTGCGATAAGAGATGTTTATATTCTTAGAACGGTTATATATACAATTTATGTTTGTCAGGATGATCTGGACGATAAGTGTGGTGAAATAGCGGAAGCGGTCGGTGATTCTTAATCCTGGAGAAGAAGGACGTGTCTGACCCATAGTCTTCTTTATTACGATGTATAGTCTTATAGTTAAGCCATTTAAGCCATACGGCGCCAAAACCCTTTCTACTCCCTTATTTAGTATAACTCTCATCTTGGGTCGACGCACCGATTTGTCTTTTATATGAGAAAAACTTAACCGGCTGCCTCTTAAATAAAGAGTAACCAGCAACTGCCATTGTAATCGATATCCTATCCGAAAGGGTCCTCGAGTTTTCTATTTTCTCGGGGACTAAGTATTTTTACACCGACTAAATGAAAAATAAAAAAGCAAACATCCACCATATGCGGGTCTTAATTGTTTCTTCGACGCAATGTGGCGTCACGCAATCTTCAACCTTTTTTCTAACTTGCTTACCATCGCGACGCATGGTAGCTTCGCGTCCCTGTAATTCCGCAGCAACGTGGCGCGTGCGATACCATCTGTTGGCTGGTGTACAAAAGGTCTAAGTCGGGGTTCATGATGGCCGCCAGTCAGGAAAACGAATAGCAAAAATGGAGGGAGAAATACTCGGTGCCGCAAGAGGTCGTGCAAGCTGCCAGTTGAGCCTCTCTGATTGGTCGACCGGGGTCACGTGATTCGACCGCGGGATGTGACTGCAGCGCCAAGCGCGTTTGGCGGGACCACGCTTAGACGGCGTCGTCTGTGCTCCGTAGGTCTGTCGTGTAACGAACCGTAGTGACTCTCCTGGCATAATGGTGAGTATCCGCGAGTTTCTGGCGGATACTTTGGCCATCCGTGATTTTCGTGCACAGCCATGGAATCTAGGATATCTCAGCTATCTGCTGGTGAAGTTTCGTGTGCGTAACTCGCAAATTAACCGTGATTTTCGTATGTGCACAGGCTGGCGGAAAGGCGGGCAAGGACTCTGGGAAGGCGAAGGCAAAGGCGGTCTCCCGTTCGGCGAGGGCTGGCTTGCAGGTGAGTTTTTACGCGTCTCGACAGTGTCTCACGCAGATATCCTCTGTATCACGTTTCTCATTTCTCTTGGATTATTTTTAAATACTTCGACGAGATGAAATCTCTCGCTTTCACTTGGAATTTGCAGGTTAAACTGGCGGTTGGCGCGAAAAGCTCTTGGACGTTTTCACCTCGAATGTTGTTAACGTATTTTTTTCCTTCTCCAAGAGTTCTTTGTTCGTTGTAACATTTTCGAGTAGTTAGACATGCTCGTTATTTGGCTTTGAAAATTGTCGTTGATGAAAATCGTCATTTGTGACGGAATATTTTTTAAATTGAACAGACTCCGCGCGAATAGTCTCGAATGTTTTCAAACAACGAGTTGGACCGTTTGCTTGATGACCCCCTCCCCTTTACTTATTTTTCTTTTATTCTATTTCACCCGATGATCTTTTTGATTTTCTTAAATCTCTAAGTAAACTCGACGAGAATCAATGAATTACTTCAAACGCGTATACACAATGTTTTTCTCGTTCTTTTTATACAAAAAATTATAACTGACCCCAGTGCAAAACCGTTACACGATAATGTGTGGCTATCATGTACGCTACTGTTTTGAATCGTATGTCTCTCTGGGCGATCAATGAAATTGTGTCGAAAGCAGACTAGACTCTCAAAACAGAAATTTGTCAAACTCAAACGCAAAGGATATACTAACTTTCGGCCAATATTCACAATTCAAAGCAGACACAACTTTGGCTATACGTATCAGATTCCATTTCTCGCGAGCCTGTCAAGAAACATTGCTAAGTCTTGTATATTAGTTCACCGCGTCGAAGTAATTGTAAAAAAAGCATAAGTTCTCTTGAAAATTAATAAAGATCTTTCCAAAGTACTCGACTGACAGAGAAGAGGATAATATTTTTAGCAAGAGAGTTGCCGTTGCCACGGACGGAACCTTGAAACGTAGATACTCGTAGTAAGAGATCACTAGGACGCGCAAGATTTTCATAATACAAATTCTAACCGAAAATTACGAATCGTGCAGTAATGAAAAGCAAATAGGTGGTGCAAGCTATGGAAAGCTCGGGAAAACCGAATAATTCCGAACCGTTCGATATCTGTGGCAATAAAAGTGTAGAGAGAAAAGCTCCTCGTGCCACTGGGTCAAGCGACATCAGAGTTTCCCCAAATAATCGGTATTTTGTTTGGGCTACTGGTGTAACACCTATAAAAAGTTTTTAAAAACTCAGTGCAATCCAAGAATGTTACGTTACGAAAAGCCTTATCATCGCGCGTCGTTCGATATTTCTTTAGTGAAAAGCTGCTGACGCTGGGCACGCTCAATATTTTTGGGACGGCACTATCTCTCCCGCCTGACAATCCTTTTCCAAAAACATTATTTCAAATCTGCACCACTATCGACGGCAGTCCTACGAGACTGCCCCAGGACAAAAGTAGACACGCATATTTGATTTTTGGTTATTTCATGATTTCAGTTTCCTGTGGGCAGAATTCACAGGCATCTCAAGAACAGAACTACCAGCCACGGACGCGTCGGTGCCACGGCGGCCGTCTATAGCGCCGCTATCTTGGAATACCTCACGGCTGAGGTGAGTGACAGTGCGAGCGCGAACAAGAGAGAAAAATAAAGACAAAATACGGATTGGATTAATTGAAAGCCGCTTGGCGGCGACACTTTCGCCCAGAGAAAGGAATGGCTATCTTTTCCCGCCAATTGCCCTAATGCCCGTAGCTAATGCATGCGAGAAAGAGAGAACGAGATATCTCCCCTCGGGTTTCTCGGATGAACCGGTTAACGTGCCGTCCCTTTCAAAACTCATTGCTAACTCATGTTATTGTCACTGCCTTTGTAATGATGCTCTATAACGATCCCTGCAGCGTTCGGCTGTTAATTCAATTTTCCCGCATAATAGCATCATCTTGCTGATACTTATAGCGGAGTCTAATTTATGGATACACTGGTCTCTCTTCAATTATTCAGACTGCTTCAGATTGCGGTGTTCGTGCCTTGAATTATTTACCAGGAGACTGGAGCTTATTTAATGACCTCTTTCATTTATTTATTAGGTATTGGAATTGGCGGGGAATGCATCAAAGGACTTGAAGGTAAAACGTATCACACCTAGGCACTTACAGCTAGCCATTCGTGGTGACGAGGAATTGGATAGTCTTATCAAGGCAACCATTGCTGGAGGAGGTATAAATAAATATATACATATATTATTTATCTACTTCACCTAGCGGGTTAAAACATTACATTCTCAATTTATTTATTTCAGGTGTCATCCCACATATCCACAAATCGTTGATCGGCAAGAAGGGCTCTCAAAAGCCAGCATAATTTAGCGTCTGATTTGGATAAGAGAAGATTTCCAAGGCAAGTAAAACGAAGGTGATAAGAATATAGGAAGAGCAAGAAGAAGCAAGAAAGAGTGACTGTTAACAAAGTGTACCTACGTTACTATATCGATGGAGGGACAGGCGTGATATATATAAATATATATATACATAAACATATATATATATATAAATAAAACAAATATTGATATAATTTAATATAGGTAATGAAGGTTAACGAAAAAGGAACGAATGTTCGAGACGTAATCGGCAAGGGGGTAGGGGGCGAAGTAATTTACAATTTTAAAAAATATTTCGAATACATAGCATGCCAGTCGCCAATGGGTTAAAATGGCGGGCGATGTGTTGTAGCATGGCTCGCTCAAGTCCATTGAAGCCGTTATAGTACCATTTCGTGTATGAAGTTTGTTTAGGCATCTTGTGAGTATTTAAGATAAAAGAAATAGAAAAAAAGGGAATAGTGAGACCGGTATAGCTTTTTTGCCGAGCGCGCGTCGTTGGTGCTTCTAGAATTTGGCGTTCTCGTTCGTTTATTCCTTTTGTCACCTCGTATGCCTTTTCGAGATGATCCGATTGGATCGTTCGCGCAGTCCTTTCCGCACCGATAACGCGTACAGAGCTTCAAGAGCCTTTGACAATCTCGAGTGAAATGAATAGGATTGCTTTTTGACGTTCTCGTGGACTTGCGCCCGTTTGTCTCTCGGTCGAATAACACTCCATCATGTTGAAGACTTTGTTAATGACTTAGCGAGCAGACGATAAAACTTAAAACGCAAGTACTTCCTTCTTGTCGTTAAATACTCGGGATCTTCTCACTAAAGTGAAAGGTAACTGTGGGTGAATAAAAAGCTCTGTGACTTCGGATAGTTCGTTTTTTTGATTTCGTGATTTCTTTTGTCAATTTTAATTTTGGACTATATCTGAACATTAAACATTTTATTTTAATTTTACGCGTGGGATCCAATTTGCTTTTAAAGTTAGGTCCTGCAATTCTTGATTTCCGGGTCACAAGTGTTTTCTTTCGGTTCTGCTTGTCACGATGCTTGTAAACGACTCACTACGTGTACCTGTGTTTGATTTTATTGGAAATATGGAATGCTAGCCTATGTTATTGATTGTTAAGAATCGAAATTGCAGGACCGAAAGTGGCTTCAAGCTGAAAGCTTTTTATTCAGACAAGGTCGAAATGGCTGTACGCATACTTATTCAAAATTAAACCAATAAGCCAAGTAGCGAGTACTCGACTGTCTTTGTTATGCTTTAAGAAAAAGAAAGGTATAAGGTTAGAGGAAAAAAAGAAAGCAACGCGAGGATCCTATTACGATCGTGTGAATGATGGGAAGCAAATGAGCTCCTATTATGTAAAAGGAAGAGTTAAAAAGGAAAAAGAAGCAAAAATAATAGGACTTTGCAAGTTTCTTCGCCGACATCTCACAGTCTTGTTCTTTACCAATCTTCATTTTTATTATTCGTACGATTTATTGTTACATTAGTAATTTAGCGTAATTTCCACTGTCGACGGTAATTGACACCGTAATATAAAATAAAAACACGTATGACACACCAGCCATATGTAAAACGTTCATTTTCATAATAAAGGTAAATTTTACTATTGAGACATGTTGCTTTAAGACGAAGCCAGAGTAGTTCACTTCAGTCCGAGTCATTTATTTTCTGTAGCACTCGCCGAGGTGCTGCCTCATCGCGGAATTATCCATAAACACAGAATCCTATTTTCCCCTACCACCACGTCATCCCCCACCGCATCCTTGGTGCTTTTTCTCATAAGGGTGGGGTGTCACTCCACCATTCTCGACTGAGGCATTCGCGGGAAAGAGAGAAGAAGAGAATCCAAGTGAGAAGCAACATGCACGATGCAGCAGCGGCTCCCCAGCTTACCAGTCTCCCTACTCGGCGTCCAAGTACCAGTCGCCAGTAGCCTTTCACGAGTCGAAGCGTCGGGTGTTCGACGCGTTCGCGGACTCGTTCTGGCAGCCGGGGCGTTTTTTAACTGTACACAAAACATCCACAACCATCCCTTATCGAGATATACACGACAGGAAGTGATAATCGCGGTCTCGTTAAAAAAAAAAAGACTTGATGAACTGTGTCTGACTCTCGGCGTGATTCCTGACACTGGGAACGTTCCCGGTGACAACCCTCAGGACAATCTAGACAATTAATTATTTCCCACGTACTCGTCAGTAGGGATAATAGCGGTCTCGTGTTGACTTCCTTCTCTTGTTTACGAGCCATCCGCGTACGCGATACCGATCCAAGCTCTTGTCAAACCTAATTCCGAACGGGCCACACGATTTTCTTTTGTTTTCGGAACAAACCCGCTATCCACAGCGTCGCGATTCTGTGATTGTTTTTTTGCGAGTGTCTTGTGCCATGAAGACGGCTGTTGCGGAGTAGTGTCTTGGGGCTTGGCTTGAGGAAAAGCAGCTGGCAGGAGAATGAAGTCTAGAACGTGGAGAGCCGCTCCTTTCAGGTAAGTCAAACAGCATCTTGTTTATCTAACGGAGTCCGAGCGATCGGAATGTACCTGGTATTATTATTCTCTCAGTTTTCGAGATTCTGTGCACTGTTATCATCTCTGATTAATTATCACCTAGGATAGTACACGATTTTCTTCTTTATGCTAGTATACGTTTGGTATTCGGAGCGCAAGGTCGTCTGCACGTCAGCGTCAGTACAGCCGGTAGTAGTCGCCGTGGTGAAAGTCTATACCATGTAGTACATTGTGCAGAGGCTTGTCTTTTATCCTGTAGGAATTTGCGATTGTCCAGAGAAACTTGAAAATACGCGGGATAACTGTATGCATTTTATAGCTTAAGGATTTTCAAGATTTAGCTTAACGATTTAAAACCATCTTGAGACTAAAACCCATAACGGAACAGAGTATATAATTCTGATCGCGTGTAGATTTTATAAGCCGCCCAAACGTTTTCTCCAGTTACGCTCGCGCATATTGCGTAACCTTCGTCTTTGAGAACAGAGTTTCTCAGGACAAAAGATTTCTACCTGGTATCTTAAGTAAAAATCGACTCTCGCCCATTTTATTTCATTCTACCGACTCTGTCTTGTGGGTAGCAATATTAACGCGTTCTGCAAATCGGAACCACGAATAATTTTCCTGAAATTCACACGCGCCGTATACTACATGACTATGCGTGTTGTACAAACATAACCACAGCGGAAACGCGTACCACCATTTTTTTTCATAGTCTAAAATAAATTCTCAGTCATCAGAACATGTCATCCTTGACACTAGATGGAATTCCTTTTAAAAAAAAACGTAATGAAGAATGAAGGACCTGGTGCCTCTGAAGATCCCATAGTGGACGGTATGAATAGCGGTTACTAGGCGACTTGAGTATAAGATACTTGGAGCATCATTCAGGATGGCAAAATCCAGTCGCTGGTATTCACCTGTGTACGATCCGTTAGCGTCGCCTGGGTCTGGGTCATCGACCATTCCGCTTCGTGTGGCGTATGCAGCACGTAGGTATACACGTAGTGATGCTACTCGGGCGTTGGGTTCGCCTTGGCCGGCAACCTGTGATGTGCGTAGATATATATATATATATATATTCACTGACGGATAGAACTGTACGATGCAGTAACTACAAATCATTGTAAATTCCGCTACGATAACGTCCCGTAGGATGGGAAAGGACGCGACAGGATTTCCTAGTTTTTCGGAATTTAAAAAAAGAGGCGTCCATGGACGCGGAGGATCTCGCAGCTAGAATCGGACGGGCCTTCGAGTTAACGGCACCGTTATCCCTTCCTCTCCATACTCTATAACATATCGCGGTTCGTGAGGGCCAGTCATCCAGTCATCCAGTCATCCAGTCATCCAGTCAGCCACCCAGTCAAGAGCCATGACCGTGTAACCACTACTAATCTAGTAACACAGTCGCGTTCACCCAACAAGCCACATTGTAACGTTTTACGGGACTTCCGTGCTGAACGAAAATATTCCGACAGCGTCGCGACGCGTCTTATTTCATCCAGTGCATCGATACGCGACGCTCCATCGATCTGTACCACTGGTACCAAATCGATTAATGAAGCCGTTATCCACAACTACGTTATGGTTAGGTTGGATTAACAGGGTCTAGCTTCTTCTTTCTCTCTCCCTCATTTCTCTCACTCGGCTCCTTTCAGCTACAAGCCTCTTTTTCGCCTCTTCTTAGGACGTCTCGTGCCTTTCTTTTTTCCCAGCGTCCCGACGACACCGGCGCCTTTCCTCCTCGTTCGCCGCGTCCCTGGAAAACGAGACTGTCTCTCTCGCTCTCGGCAACCGGCATTTCTCTGCACTCTCGAGTGCCCATCCTCGGTCCACCGCAGAGCCCAGCATCCCTCTTCTTGCCCTCGTACTCTTTCACCGTACACCCTCCCTCACCCTCACCACCACCGCCCCACCATCCTCGGCCAGCCCTCTTCCTCTGTGCCTGCCTGCGAAAGGCTTTACTCACTAATTAGTCTCCCTTCTCTCGCTAAACAATGCCGGCAGCTCTGATGTGTACCTGCGACTTACGAAACGGAATGATTTCTCTCTCGTAGTTTTTTCCTCCCTGACGTCGCCGATCCCCACGAAATACCCAGAAGCCTCTCACACTCTTACGCGCCATAATCAACCGTCTCTCCTTGTATTTTATTCCCGAGACGCCGCGACGGCGACGCCGTGAAATTACATGCGAAACGAAAGTTCGGCCAATCCTTTCGACGTACACACCTTAATATAAATCTCCATGTCACGTGACCCGACGTCTCACGTATCCCTACGCGTTACGAAGTTCCGAATTATTTGAAACTACATCGCGAACACCGCGCAGCTCCCTTTTTCTTCCGGCAACGGAACGTCGCTCCGCGCTTCCCTCACGTGAACCAGGGATTCTACCGGCTGATTCAAAGGACACGTGCCAAGTAGTCGAATCGCCCGTAGTCGAATTGCCGCATTTTCACTCGACAACCCGAAGCTCCGGGCGATCTGGGAAATTAGCTCGGGCTGACTTTCGTCCCGTGAAAAGGAACCGCAGCTCCACGTTCCACGTTCTTCGTGTTTCCTGTTCCCCCTCGACGACCGGCGAGAGTGTTTCGCGTGGCTGTAACACGCGCGCTACGCTGGGCTCGACCCTTTTTAGGCCGCAAGGGCTTGCCGAAACGAGATAGGAGCTCTCACGTGTCTCTCGATTTCCTCGCGAATTCCTGTCTCTGTGAGGCTGGCACAGTGGCTTATACGTATATGTTACTTACACGCGAATTCCGTCTAATCACGTGGGGACACAATGTACCCAGTATACATATAATGTATATATGTATATGTCACCTCTCGTATACACAGGGTTACGTGCCTTTGCGCTCGTACCCATGTATTTATTTTCTGTTGGTCGCATACGTGATCATTTATACAGGTCCCTCACTCTCTCGTATAGGATACACGAGCGCTTTAGAAATATATGAGTTTACGTGCTGGTGGGTGTGAGTGGCTCGTGTGTTATACTGCTCGTAGAATATCAAATCCCTATATGCATGAGTATGGGACGAACACGCCTAGTCAGCCGACTCGTCCGACTCTTCCGACCAGGACAAAAGACTGCAAGACGAGCTTGCGATATGTCACGCGTCCCCTACCCCGAAGCCCCTCGGCGTCTTTCTTCCCGTCTTCGGAGTCCAACCACGCTACCTTTTTTCCCTCAAGGCACATCCCTCTCGCTTACCTTCTGCCTGCTCCTTTTCTTTGCCTGCCGGTATCATTCATCCGTGCGTCCGATAGGAGCTTGTCACGGGTGAGAGGGACAAATGGATCAGGTTCGAATTTTGTTCTTCGCGCCTAAAGCTGACCTAGAGAAGCGCGACGGAGGAGGAAGAGGAGGAAGAGATCCAGGAGACCCAGTGTCCTGAAGCAATCTCAGAATTGGGTAGCTTCCAAAATACCATTTGGGTTTCTATACTATCGGGACGTGCAAGCTGAGTTCCTGGTCTGGTTTGTTTTCCAGGAGTCAGAGGGTTCAATAGAGCCTAGATGGGTAGGTAGGTAAAATGGGCTGTGCAGTAGACTCCAGACAGCGCGGGTTGCCTGTGTCTCCTGGTAGGATGGCGAAATGTTGAAGGAGCGATGCTGGGGGAGGGAGGGCAAAGTTAGAGAAGGGCTGCGGCGGCGGTCGGCTGATGGGAATATAATAATGCGGAGGCTGTAACGCGTGGCGTGACAAAGTATCGCAATTTGGCCGGGTTGCTGGATACCTGGAGACTCTGGGAAACCCTTAGGCGTAATCCGTGAGCGAGACAGAGGTTATAATTCCTTAGGGATGGGGCTAGATGTAGACGGTGATAGCTTCCTGGGACATTCCGTGAAAACGCCTTGGTCCTTGGTAGAGATCCTAGATGGTGGATCCTGGGTACTGGTTCGGATGGTTTGTACGGCTGTTGCTGGGTGCTGGGCTGCAGAGGGATTAAGGCTTACCGCACGTAATCGCCCTAATGAAATTTAAACTGGTACGTTTGTTTAGCGTTAAGCGACGGAAGATGCGCGCCCCTCGTCCTCCAATCCTCTTTCGCCCCTTCTGTCTCCTTGAACCTTACTGCGTATTACTTGTATCAGTTAGTCGCTCGGTTTTCTCGCCCATTTCGCTCGACTTGCTTACACGACTCGGGTTAGGCAAGGAGAGACGGAGGCGTAGCCGCGTCTGCGTGCTCCCCTAATCCACCCTTCCGAGAAATCCCTGTTTACACGAACGCGATCCACGCACCAAGTACGTCAGCCCTGCCAAACGACCAATACCGGCGCCCGCAAACGGACTTTCGTGGATCCCGAAGGATCCGGATGCCGTCAAGGGAACCCTGTGCCTAGTACCTCCACCCTTCACGGCTGCCACCCTTCCTCGCACTGTCTATGCAAGTTTTACCTCCATCGAAATAATCGAAACAGCAGCTCCCAGTCGTCCCCAGTTGGAAATTCCTTTGTTCCCTGAAACGATCTGTATCGTTTCTGCGCGCCTGCGCTACCTGCTGCGTGCGCGTATTCTCTGTCGAAGGGCATAAACATTGTGGAAATCTCTATCGGATTATCGATTCGGTATCATTTGCCAAGGAGGAATTTAAAAAATGCATACTCCTCCCCCCCCACCGACCAGCTGGGAACTTGTACTGGCGGCTATTCGCCATGGAGAGGACGTCGCTCTGGACCGGTTTATCTACTACGAGCTGCAAGCTGAAAGTTAGAGGCAAATGCTACATGGAGAATTCCAGTCGGTTTTCTCCTGTCTGAGGTTGCTCGTCCGGTTGGCTAGTTCGGGCCTATAGAAGACTTGCGAAATAGCGTTAGGGGTCCTTCCATCACCACTATTTCACCCGTGCGCTCGGCAGTTCAGCATCCCTTGGAAGGCATTTACCACGTGGCTACGAATTTACTGTCCCTGCCTGCTACAGCTGTGGTAGGGAGGGGGAGAGGGGGGACGTGGATTTTAATCGGCTCCCGGC